ATGGAGTTTTTCCTTCATGGTCTGCTATATCAACATCAGCACCAGCGTCAATCAGCTTGGTAAAAGCCTCTTTCTCATCATAACAGGCACTAACTAAAGTGGTTTCCAATTGATCACTAGGATCAACATAGTACACATACTGCAAATTGGACATAAGACTTTCAAAACCATGAATTGCTACATAAAATAATGCTGTCTTGCCACTGTGATCAACAACATTTACATCAGCTTCAGCATTGATTAATTTACAGGCCAAGTTTCTATTACCAACTTGCAGAGAATAAATCAGAGCAGTTTTCCCTTCTTCATCAGTCACATTTAAGTCAGTAATAGCCTTAATTATCATAGAAGCTACACTTTTAGCATCTTCATTTTCTCTGTCTTCATTGCCAAATTTATTCCTTTCTATTTGACTGCTTTGAGCAAAATGCATCAAGGTTGTTCTACCTTTTTTATCAGCAATATTGACATCAGCACCAGCTTCAATCAATGCACAAGTCAAATCTTTACTTTTATTTTGTAGGGAATATATCAAGGCAGTTTTACCATCATCATCAGTTATGTTCAAATTAGCTCCAGCCTTTACTAATTCCAAAGCAGAATTTCTGAAGACAACTTCATAACTTTCTTTATTTCTTGCATAGTACAAACTGTACATAGTTTCATCATAGAAATGAAAGTGGTCAAAATCACTATCTTGTATTCTTGTTATTCCTTGTTGAGCACAATAGATTAAAGCAGTTTTTCCCAAATAATCTATTTTATTAAGGTCAGCACCAGCACTGATCAACACACAAAAAATATTCTCTTTACCATTATTGGTTACTTGACGCAAACCTTCTCCCTCGTACTGAAACATCTGACGTTCTCTACTTTCCAAGTCATCTAGAGCACCATAAATCAAAGCAGTTCTGCCTTCTTTATCCACTACATTAACATCTGCACCAGCGTCAGTTAATTTAGCAGCTACACTTGTTTGACCATGTTGGACAGCAAACATCAAAGCAGTTCTGCCTTCTTTATCCACTACATTAACATCTGCACCAGCTTTAATTAATATCTCAGCTACACCTGTTTGACCATGTTGGACAGCAAACATCAAAGCAGTTTTGCCCTGATTATCAGCTATGTTTAAATCAGCACCAGCTTTTATTAACATGGAAACCACAGTTTTGGAGCTTTCTATTGCAATGCCATATTCATCTAGAGCACCATAAATCAAAGCAGATCTGCCTTTTTTATCCACTACATTAACATCTGCACCAGCGTCAATTAATTTAGCAGCTACACTTGTTTGGCCATGTTGGACAGCAAACATCAGAGCAGTTTTGCCCTGATTATCAGTAAAGTTAATGTCAATGCTCTTTGTTAATTGTGAAACTATGTTTTCATTCCCATTTATTGAAGCATAATGTAAAGCATTTCTGCCATTCTTGTCAACGATTTTGACATCTGCACCAGCCTCAATAAGTCTACATGTCAATTCGTTGTCTTGAAGAGCATACATCAAAGGAGTTTTGCCTTGATTATCAGTTATATTGACGTCAGCACCGGCGTTGATTAGTGTAGAAGCCACACTGCTGTAGTCGTCAAGATCAATTTCTGTAAGCACTTCGCTACCATCGGTTAAAATTTCTTCTAAGTAAAGTAATCCTTTTTCAACATAATAAAACAATGGGGTTTTTCCATAATTATCACTTATATTGACATCAGCACCAGCATCGATCAAAGCTTGAACTAAATCTTTGTTATTGAATATAACGGCGTAAGACAGTGCACTTTTTCCTCCTATAGGGTGGACAGAATTAATATCCACGCCAGATTGAATCGATTTTAAAACCTCAGTTTTGTTGCCTTCTCTGATAGCTTGAATAAAACGAATTTTTTTCTCGACATCACTTTCATTCGTTTTGCGTCGATGAGTTTCTATTCTTCGCATCAAATGTTTTGGATATGACGAGGGCTGAAAGTATGCCATTATYTATAGCTCACACACCTTCAATCTATCCATGTAGACTTCTCCTGCAAGACAGTTTTAATACTTGCAGCCATAGTTAATACAGTTCCCTTCTATCAACTATGTTTTAATGCTCAAGGAAAGTGAATGACCAAGTCTTATATGGCATTTTCTTTGGTGTTGACTAGTGGACATCGATCGCCATCATTTCCGCCTACAAACAATCCAACGAAAATGTTTTTACATGTCTCCTAACGAAGCTGATAAAACTTGCTGCTATTTGTACTAGGGCATATCCACGTAAGATTGATGCATTAAGTCATACTTAAGAAGAGTTTTAGAGCGAGAAAAAGACTTGAACTCAAAGATATAATTTTCTACTTCTCCAAAATGGGAGCGGCTGCGAAGGATAGACGCTGTGACAGATCAGGTGACATACAGAAGCATTACTCACGTCACTGGACGCCATATATGGGGTGGCCAAATTTAGCTTTGTTGCATGAAGCATGATCAAAAGATCTTTTTGCCTGTTTTAAAATCATGTTTTATTAATTTATAAACCCGATTTTGAAAAAAAAATATTAACTTTAAGAACTCCTCTGGCAAGTTAGTAAAGAGACGTAGACGTCCAGTTTAGTCCAATTAGCCCCTTATACGTGCATCCAAACCCGCGTAACTGTATTCGGCTGAACCACGCAGACTACAAGCTCGTGGCAATCGGAATGTTATTATACTAATTTAGTACTAACAAAATATATTTTTTTTGTCGATTTTTGTGCTAAATACTGAGTCTAAAGGATCAATTTGTTATTATCTCTATGCCAGGGCGTGGCCCTTAAAAAGTGGTGTGTGTTGGGTGGGGGGCAAGAGAATATTAAGGTATTACTTCATATTCTCTTGGTGGGGAGTTAAGATTGAGACTAGTATGGGAAAAGTGAGGGGATTAAGATTGGAAAATATAAGAGACTAGTAGGGGAAAAGGGGAAAAGAGGGGGGAAAGTAGCCCACTGCCTCACCCCCTCCGCGGCCCCCATATGCTATGTACTTATTGACTGAGTTGGGTCGGGCCGTACGGGAAAATATTTGACTCGAGGTGATATGCCCTCACGGACCGAGCGCGGCGAGGTCCGTACAAATGACCGATAGCCAAATATTTTCCCGTACGGCCCGACCCAACTCAGTCAATAAGCATTTTATCATATGACCCTAAATAAAAAAAGATATTTCAAAAGTTGCAAATTATGTCAATACGGTCGCAGGTTTCGAGCAGGGCCGTACGGATTCAGATTCGGAGGGCTACAGATTCATGAGATGTGATAGATCTTTTCGGGGCGGTGGAGTCATGATTTTCTGGCGTTCTAATATCGTTTTCCATGATATCCAGATGCCTACCTTAAACAAACTTGAGGCCACTTCAATTAAATTAAAGATAGGCAAGAAATGGCTTTTGGTAATTGGTGCATATCGACCTCCCAGCATCACATCATGGTATGGTGAGCTGTTCAACTTGTTAGATACTGCCTCATCAATCTGTGATGACCTCATCTAACTGGGTGACCTAAATTGCTAGCGCAGCGCAGCCGTGACGTCATAAATACGAAGACAAAGGCGAAATTCGGACAAACAAACTTACAAGTTTACTTTCAGCAGATAATTTTCACAGCCGATCGCAGTTAATCTTAGTTTACATGGGTTATTATTGTAACTTTAAGTAAAAATAATAAAATCGATTCGTATAATCCTCGTAGCGGTTAAACAGAATGCAATGTTTGTCCGAATCTTTAAGCTATTTTTAGAATCAGTGCGCTGCGCTATTTAATGGATCCAGGCGAGACAGTGGCCGTGATCTTGTGGACCTATGTGATATATTTAATATGGACTGTTTGATTGACAAACCYACACGGATTAGTCAATCATCCCAAACTCTTATTGGTGTAATCCTTACAAGTAACAGTAACAGTGTGTAATATAACTGTAGTATTAATTTGCGGGGCGATAATATTCTTATAGTACCAAGAGTAAACACCACTAGCTATGGTCTTCATTCTTTGCCTGTTCAGTGTAGTAGTTATGGATTTCTCTCCCTAACAACATGAGATTGATTCATGAATTAAACAAATTTAAATCGGAAATTTCCAAAAGAAATTTGACATTGACTGTTGTACCTTTTGTAGAGGATAATAGTTTTAATTTTTTATTGTAAATTATATATATATATATATATATATTTATACAATTTTACTATATATATTATTTTAAAATATAT